ACACACACACACACACACACACACGTCTACAATTATTGTTCATTTTCATTATGCATGAAACTGTGAGCCTGTTTGTAAGTGCAAGAAAACTATTACATGTATAATAATAATTGTTTTATGTTTGTGTGGGAGAGGATGTGCGAGTGAAAGTCCAATCCGTTACATTATAATATTATTATGCTGGTCATGTGTGTTTGTATATATATGGGTGTGTCCACGTTCGCACGTGTGTGTGTAGGTGTGAGTGTGTGTGTGTGTGTGTGTTTGTGTGTGTGTGTGTGTGTGTGTGTGTGTGTGTGTGTGTGTGAGTGTGTGCATGCGTGCGTGTGTGTGTGCGTGCGAATGGGAATGTCGGTGTTTGTTTGTTTATTTTGTTTGTGTGTGTGTGTGTGTGTGTGTGTGTGTGTGCGAGCGCGTGGTGAAACACCAAACCAATGTACCAAGATCTGGACGTGTCACAGACCAGAACACAATGTTGAGCTGCCACACGAAAAGTAAAAGTTAGGAACCGAGTCGGGTTCCTAATTATTTTATTAATTCTTGGATATTTCTTCCGATTCCAGTGCCACGCGATCCCAGTGGTCCTCAGTAAGTGTATTTAACGGCACTTGCAACACAATAAGGTCATATACGTGGAGAAGATGAAAGGTGTTACAACTTACAAGAGAGTTACACACACAAAAAAGAAGGAGGGGAGATAAAGATGGCAGATGTTTGATAGGAAAGAAGAAGCAAACCACACCAGAGCACCCGCCAACCACGCACCCGGTGGTCCGTCTTAAAAACAACAGTAACAACAACAACAACAACAACAACAACAACAACAACAACAACAACAAAGATTAAATGCAGGCGTTTTTAAGCCCCCATAGACACAATTTAGATCATTAAAGAGGCGGACTTCGACCCTGCCCGTAAGGGCATCTCGGGCTGAGACTGAGAATGTGAGAAGGATATAACGCACCAGCAGAAAGATCAAGATACTCGATAAACATTCTCCCCGCACGGGAATCGAACGCAGGTGTTCTGAGTGTGACATAATTTAATCGGCTAGCTGTTACGCCACAGATTCTGATGTTACATCTTTGAAATATCCTGCAGTGTTTCCAGTTGCGCTCTAAACTTCAACGACAACAACAGCAACAACACAACCACCACCAACAACACTAGAGATAGCAGTAACAAAAAAAGAAGAATGCAGTGAAAACATCTTCTAATACGGGGTGCCCAGCACGGCTCGATCGCCTGAAATGCTCGATCGGCCGATCCCATCCATAGTGGGCACCCCGTATTAGGCATCATAGTTTCCAAGTCTAGCATCCAACACAATGTCATTCTGTATTATTCATCCTCTTCCAAATCAACCTTCCTTCTTAACATCAATACATTATTGCCTCCCCGACATCATCCGCGACATTTAAAAAAAAAATCAACCCCAGTCAAACCACGCCCTCTTAATAATATCGATATTATATCTTAACTTCCTATGAATTCCCCCCCCCCTCCTCATGACATATATCAACGCTCTCCACCCCCTCCCCTCTCCCCGTAAAAACTTATAAATAAAAAATACTCTGTAGTGACTTAGTTACATGACACCCGCGTGCAAAGTAGTCCAGTTAAACTAATGTTGTTTCATTGTTAATGCGCACAGGTGTATATAATATATATCATATTATGAAGGCGCTTGGAAATAAACGTTAATTCGTCTGTACCTAGTTCACGAGCCGACGTTCTGTCAAGTCTCTACATTGGTGACCCGACGTGATATGAACACGCAACCTTCTGAGTTTTTTAGGGTGTAAAGGGCGGGCACGGGAACGAACTGGTGGGCTATTTGTGACAGTGTGGTGCTCAACACCATGCTTGTTGACAGAGTAGTTGAACTGGAGAAAGAGTAGCTCAGGAAAGTCCTGGAGTAATCTAGAATACTCGTTTTGCTGAAGGATTCCTAAACCTGCAAGCGTCAGTGTAACTTTGGTTTCTTTGGAGAGAATTGGATGGAGTGTTCTCCAGCTAAGCTGGTGTATGGCTCAACACTTTGTCTTCCTTGGGAATTTCTTCCGCCCCTCGACACACGGACCGTTGAACCTGACTCTACATTATGAACATTTCTTTAAAACATCTTCAGCGCACCATGGGCTCAGTGCACCCTCCTGCTCCAAAGTTTCACGAACATCGATCTTCCACAGGTTTTGTCTACGTCCGTACTGCGGACTGGGGTCTGAGATCCCCTTTTATACAAGCTACTAGTGTCAGTTTAATATGAATCATTGTAAACTAATAGTTTAAAAAAAATTAGATTGGGTGGTCTGATGGTGTTCGTCATATGCACAGATCTAGTTTTAAAGAGGTACAATCTATTTCAATAGATATTGAGTGTTATAGGATTTGGTCTTAGTCACCCCGGCATGGGATGACAAAGACCAACCTATTAAATCTCTTTTGTAAATCAGTACGGTATTAGTAATCTCCACCCCTGGGTGACTAAGACATCTGGAAATAGCATCTTACGCCTGTTGTGACTATTTTTGAGGGCATCCAACTATCAGTACGCTACCCCAAACACGCTCAGTAGACGGTGCAGCGTTAGAAAGTTTCGGGTCAATATCTTTATTAGACTGCAGAGCACCAGGTTTTGGTTTAGAGGTTTTCGGCACCGTGATAATGGTATTTTAGTACTGGCTAGTCGTGTATCTAAATCTAGACTGGAATGAGGGTGCTATACTGCAATAGAAATCTAGAGCGATTGAAGAGAATATCATAAATAGCAATAAATAGTAATAGGGTTGCATATTTGGCACAATTCACCTAAAAATAGATAAAAACTATAAAGAATGAACATACAGACAGGGAAATCGGGTTGAAAATGCAATATTCACATAGTTGTCTTGTAGTCACCACGTATCAACCATTCCAGAACAGTGTGACAAAGACCACCTCAGCCACATGAAAAGTTAATATATAACGTTGAAAATAGGAGATTGAAATCGGTTAATTCAAACAGATTTTAAGTACAGGGTGATCCCAAAAAACTTTACAACTTTTTTTCTGAATATCAAGCGCAAAAATTGTTCTAGAATGCTGTAATTTGGAACAGACATAATTCATTCAAAAGGAATTTGTTTGATATAAAATCCAAGTAGAAGAAACATGATTTGAAAAGGAAATGGCTAAAAGAAAAAAGCACCAAAAAAACAACAACAAAACAAAACAAACCACAACCGCAAAGTTCACCAATGATTAAAAATCTTGTAAAGGAAGTCGTGAAAAGATAAGCTGACCTTTTTCTTTATTTTCTCTTTGACATTAATTTTCCATCCCTGTGACATTTAAACAATATTTAATTTCTTTTACTGAGTTTAATAAACCTAATGATTTCATTCTGAAATTCCTTCAAGCAGTGCTCCACATTCCCTCCTTTGGATTCGACACATTTTTAACGCGTCGTTCGAAATGTT